GGTAGTGAGGTTGGCCCAGGATTGGACATTGTTTCGTTCTGCTGTGCATGGGGTCGCTATGAGTCGGTTCCGACTCGATGGCTCCTGACAACAACAGCAAGAACAGCAAAGATCAAAAAAGCAGAGGACAACTAATGCTGGCGAGGATGCGGAAAGACTGGGACCCTCCTACATTGTTGGTGGGACTGCAAAATTGTCCTGCCAACCTCTCTGGAAAGCAATATGGCACTTCCTCAGAAGGTTGGAAAAAGAAATACCTTATGATCCATATTTACAGCCTTTGAAACCCAATGGAGCAGTTCTACTTTGTCCTAAAGTACAGGTGGGGACTGTCCAGTCCATGGCTGTATAAGGTCTCGTCCTGCCAAGGCAACCATAGCTCCAGCCGTCACGTTGTTAAGTGCTACTGAATTGGTTCCGACTCATAGTAACCCTGAAAAGGGTTTCCAAGAGTTAATTAAATGTTTAACCAAAGAGCAGGCTAATTTTTAAGTTGATAACTTTGTATAGTTTGTAAAGCAAATTAAAAATTTTAGCAGCAAGTTTCCCCACCCCGATGCAGCAGAAGGTGCTTGTGGCTGTTGCTTTGTTTATAACATTTGATACTCACTTCTTTGCAACTCACTTATGCCTTGTTCTCAACGACATTACTCTCAGTTCTTTGACTTCCTTAATCTCCAGTGCAGTTTTCTTCCTACCCTTTATGTTCATGCTCCACATCATCCTCTGTCCACTTTAATTCTTACTTTGCCTTCATCCTCTATTTCATTATCAACCTTACCTATGGTGGTTCTTTCTGATCCAGGGTGACCCACGTGTGCTGGGTAAAACTGCTCCATACGTTTTAAGGCTGTGACCTTTCAGAAACAAATCACCAGACCTATCCTCTGAAGCGTCTCTGGGTGTGTTTGAAGCACCAACTTTTTGTCAAGTAGTCAAGCACTTAATTGTCTGTGCAACCTAGGGATTTTTATCCCTACGATATCAACTGTTTATTTAATAAATATTTGATCACCTATGTGCTAGATGCTGGCAATATAGTACTAAATAGAACACAGAATCTCTGCCTTCATGGAGCTTAAAGCCTATTTGCAAAGATACATAAATTAAAAAATGATTATTGAATTTATACAGAGTTAAGTACATGAAGGAACAGATCAAAGTACTGCAGTAGGACCTTCAGGGACAGATTCCCTGAGGAATTGCATTTGAAGAGAAAACAGAAGTATGTGTGAATAGGAAGGACAGGGTTTCAAGCACTGGTACAGTATCTGAGGTTCTGTTAGGACATGTGCCTATAGTCAAATGAGAAAGGCAAAAACAGTATGAAATTTAACAGGAGCACTAGTCATATTCTTGACGTTGATGGTGTTACAATAACGTACTGAGCTTTTACAATTTGTACCCTCTTACATGTACAACAAACACATATTCTATGTTTCACTGGAAAACTTACGAATGGATGGAGGAAAACACTCCATAAAATGTTGAGGCTGTGAGCCCCACTTAACCTCTATATTAGATTAAGTACAATGCTACAGAGATGAACTAAATCATGTTATCTGAGATCACAAAACCAGTTAATAGATAGTAATTCAGCTATTTACATTTCACAAAGTGTTGTAAGAATGTTTCTTCATCCTTGTCATCTAGATACATTATCCTGATCCTCAAAGTAATGAGGTCAGAGACGAAATAATAGTGATAACATAAAAAAATCCACTGATGAACACTTGCAGATTAAGTCTTCCCTCATTCATCTGGCTCAGACCAACTCCTATTTTGCCATTTTCCATCAATTACTGTCAACTAAGATGTTTCAAAAAACAGATTCAGTGGTGGAAACACTCACTCATCTGTGCTAAGAAATTTGGAAGACAGCTACCTGGCCAACCAACTGGAAAACATCCATCTCTGTGCCCATTTCAAAGAAAGGCGATCCAACAGATTGTGAAAATTATCAACCAACATCATTAATTCTGCAAGCAAGTACATTTTTTTCCTAAGGCTAATTTAAAAATGATAGCAGCTGTACATCAACAGGGTAATTAATTTCAGTTACTTAATGCAGAGGGTGTGGAATGAGGAATATCACTGTTGATGTCAAATGGATCTTGGCTGAAAACAAAATACCAGAAATATGTATGCTGTGTTTTAATGACTATGAAAATGCATTTGACTGTGTGGATCACAACAAATGATGGGTAATAATCATGAAGAATTGGAAGTTTAATTGTACTCATGCTGACCCTGTACATAAATCAAGAGGCATCATTTGAATAAAACAAGAGGATACTTTGTTGGTAAGTGCCTTTGCAGTTCAGCGCCTTAACCCACAGCACCACACTATATGGTTTAAAGGTGCCTGTCAGGGTTGTATCCTTTTGCCATACTTATTCAATCTGTATACTATGCAAACACTCTGAGAAGCTGGACATATGAACAATACACCATGGGGACTGGAAGATGTGCAGATGACACAACCTTGCTTCCTGAAAGCAAAGAGGGCTTGAAGAACTTACTGAGGCAGATAAAATACATAAATGAAGAAAAAATACATAAATGAAGTTGTGAAGGATCTCATTGTACTTAGATCCACAATCAATACCCGAGGAAACAGCAGTCAGGAAACAAAGACAATACTGGGCAAATCTGCTGCAAAAGATCTCTTCAAAGTGTTAAAAAGCAAAGATGTCACTTTGAAGACTAAGATGCTCCTGACCCATGCCATGGTATTTTCCAATGACTCCATATGCATGAGAAGTAATGAAGATTGAATAATTTGATGCATATGAATTATGATATTGGTGAAGAATATTGCATATACCAAGAATATGGTATACTGAATATACTAGAAAAATGAACAAATCTATCTTGGAAGAAGTACAGGCAGAATGTTCCTTAGAAATGAGAATAGCGAGGCTTCATCTTATAAACTGTGGAGGGGCCAGTAGTACCAGGAGAAGGACACCACGCTTGGTAAAGTAGTGGATTATCAAAAAGTGGAAGACTCTATGAGATCAAATAACACAGTGGCTGCAACACTGGTCTCAAATAGCAATGATTACGAGGATGGCGTGTTTCATTCTGTTGTACTTAAGATAAACAGACCAATACAATATAAACACTACGTAAATCAACTTTAATTTAAAACGTACATCTGGCAAAAAGATGCTGGGTTTCCACTAACTTGATGAAAATGATTTTAGAGTACTTGAATCACAGGCAAAAGCACTGACTGATAAAAGAAGAGTCCAGTAGATTAACCATTGTAGAAAGAATTATTGCTTGTTTATCAAAGAGCCATTTTCCACTCCCACTCAGTAAAAGAACTCTGATTTTTTATTAACTATAATATTTGTATTTATAGCGTACTGGTTACGAATCGGGCCGTGAACCACAAGGTCAGCAGTTCGAAACTACCAGCTGTTCCGCGGTAGTTTTTCTGCTCCTGTAAAGATCTGAAGCCTCGGAAACCCTGTACAGGGTCCGCTATGGATCAGAAACAACTTGACAACACTTAACAACAACAACGTTTTAATAACAAACAGCTCTTAACACAGTCTAAAGCTTTCACGAAGAAATGAATGTGGATTAATTTTTAAATCCAATGAGTTAAAGCTTTAGGTCCCAGACCCTCCCTTCCCCCCTAATTAAGCAGTTGATGCTGAAGCCTAGTTGCATCCTACTTATTTAAGAAGCAGTGCTTTAGAATGTGATAGACCATAAGTGAAAGCACAGATATTTATGGGTAAGGGAGCATACCATAGAGCCCTTAATAAGTTTAAGCACTGGTGAAATACAATTTACAGTTTGTTGTTGTTGTTATTAAGTGCCATTGACTCAGTTCTGACTGACAGCACCCCTGTATAGGGTTTCTGAGGAGCAGCTAGTGGGTTTGAATAGCTGACCTTGTGGTTCGCAGTCCAGTAATGATTCACAGAGCCACACCAGAAGTCCACAGTTTACAGGTTGTTGTTGTTGGCACCAGTTAAATAAACCAGCAACCTGATGTCAATGGTGGTGCAAACACAAAAAGGTTGACGCAAGCGGAGCAAGAACGTGAAAATAGATAGATGGAAGTAAATTGCATAAAACAATGAATTCAAACACTCACAACTACTTCAGAGCAAAGGCCAGGAACAATTCAAAGGCATTCCTACAAACTATCTACTGCACTCTTGCTGTGCCCTGGGTACTGTGTATCCCAGTGCCAGGAACAAGAAGTTGGTATCTTTATAAAAATTTGAAGAATTCCTTTACTGTTGTCCGTGTCCCACTAGGTAAACATACTAGGTTTTGCCTGTCTCATAGTCACATACTGCTTTTGCCTTATTGGAAAACAAACAGGACCACAGTCACAAAACTAAGAAAGTCTTATACATTTCTTTGGACACGTATGTTCTATAAAGCTTACAGAATCAAAAAACACCCAAGTGACTTTTCTGTGCATATCAGCATATTAGATGTTATTAAATGGGGGGGAGGCGGGAATTTAAACTTCTCTAGTCTACCTTTACTGCAGCGTTAAAGTCTGTTCTTTTCATAACCCACCTTTCGCTGATCTGGTGAAGACTTTCACGAATGCACCACACATCAAAGGCAGAACAAAGAGCTCCTCTTAATTAAAGGGGCGCACGGTGCCCTTCAAGATGCTTAGTATTTATCGTTGGCTCTTTCTGCTCTGAATGAACGCGCAGAGGAGGACTTATCTTCAACAACCTCCACCCGGGTACCACAGAAGGGGGGCGGGGATCCTTATTTTAGGAGAAGCTGATTTCAGGCCAGCAACACTTCTCCCTTCTTTCGGGGATTCCACATTGGGCTGTGCCAATGGGCTTCTTCACACAGGTCTTACGACACCTTTAATCGGCTCGTCAATGGCAGGGTCCTCGCCTCACAAAGAGGTAATTAGGACAGCGCTGTTACACAACCGACACCCGACGCCGAACGAGTCCCCAGGAGTCTGGCTTTGGAACCGCATCAGTAGCAAACGTGGAAGCACTCTGACTCGAAAATTAGTTACACGACCCTCTACTACCGACAGCGTCCTCGGGCGTGAAAATGGAGGGAAGGGCGAGGGCAGCAGGAGGAAAGGGTTGTGATTCCCGGGGAGAAAGGGACCCGGGTCCCGGACACCTCCCCACTTCCGTCCGTCACTCCCCACAGCGGCAGTACCTGTTTCCGCATGTTATTCATGACACCCATGAAGCCCGCCAACAATTTAGCTTCTTCTCGAGCAGCAAGTTTCTTCTCGGTCTTTTTCTTGCTGCTTTTCTCCACCCCGGAGGCTGCCATCCTCCCTCCGTTCCGTTCACGTCCGGGGTTCGCAGGCTCCGGGCTCGTGAGGGCTTCTGTTTACCAAACGCGGCAAGCGGACTGCGGCTACAACGCCCTGCTCTCCAGCCAGCCTGAGAGAGAACTGCAGCAGCTCGGTCACTGCGGAAAGTCGAGGCCTGGCGGCCAGTCAGTAGCCCCCGGAGACGAGACGTCGTGGACTCGGTTGCGCTCGGAGGAAAGACGAAATACGGCGGACGAACCTGGGAACCCTCGGCTCTAGGGAACCCAGAAGGGGCGCTTTGAAAGGAACAGTGGGCGTGGTGTTTACGTCACAAGCGTGCGCCGCTCGGAGCGACTCGCCAGAGCGGCTACCGTCTTTGTCCCGCGCGGCTGCGGGATGTTTACTCCTCGAGCTAGACCTATGTCTCGCCAAAAAGAAGGGTAGATTTTTCCAGACTTATGATACGTGGCGATATATAAATATTTATCTACATATGTGTATAATATCTATATTATAATTGGTCGTAAGAACCCATTGAAGTATTAACCTATTACCATATTCCATGGCTTAGTGTGTTTTCTGCACTGCCTGGCGTATTGAAGGTGCTCAATAAATATGTACTGAATCAATGACCGAATATTCCATGCTGGAAGTTAAGACATATGGATCACAAAGTTTGAGTTGGCTTATAAAGTAAAAACCCGTATTCCTCCTTATATCCTCTTAGGCTGACTTGCTCCTCCCCATCTTTAAAACTAAATCAGGTGGTTTCACCTGCAGAAACGTTCACTTAGGCCTCCCCAGTGTCCTACGGGAACACAAACCACAATACAGGGTTCATAAAACCCCCTTTTTGTAACTATGTTTTTTCTAGTGTATAATAATAGGCAGAATTATTTTAAATCGTACATCATTTTACATTCTGAAAACTTACTACATGTGCTTTCAGTATGCCTAGGTTTATATAGGAAAATATACAGAGACAACATTTATGTAAAATAATCTACATTATTGGTGTGGTGTTGGAGTACAAGGTTGGTGGTTCAAGCACATCTGATGCTCCTTGAAAACCCTATGCAGGGACGCTGATTCGAAACTGACTCGACAGCACTTAACAACAACATAATTATATATATGTGTGTAACATAGTCCTGGAGTCTTGGTGTGGCACTGCAGGATAATGCACTGGACTGCAGGGTCGGTTTGAATCACAAGGTTGGTTGTTCAAACTCATCAGCAGCTCCTTGGAAACCCTATACAGTGTTGCTGAGTCAGAATTAACTCAAAAGTACTTAACAACAACAACACAGTCCTGGTGTGGTTGTTGTTAAGTGCTGATGAGCCGGTTCTGACCCATAGCGACCCTGAACAGGATTTCTGAGGCTGTAAATCTTTATGGGAGCAGAAAGCCTTATCTTTCTCCCACGGAGCACCTGGTAGTTTTGAACTGCTGACCTTGTGGTTCGCAGCCTGATTTGTAACCACTATGCTACCAGAGTGTGGTACTGTAGGATAAACACTTGACTGCTAACCTCAAGGTTGGGTTACACTCACCAGTTTCTCCTCAGAAACCCTATACTGGGTCATTATGAGTTGGAACCGACTGGAAGGCACTAACAACAACAATGTATATATAAAGTATAATTCAGTAGTGTAGTTTATAATATATATATAGTTTGTATATACATTATCCAAGAAGTTGCACAATTATATATGATATAAAGTAAATGCTTCAATAGTATAGATTACAGTATCTGTCCGCACTCACTGCCAACTAGTCCATTCCAACTCAGAGTGACCCTGTGTACAGTTTCCAGGACTGTAAATCTTTACAGGATTAGAAAGCCTCCTCTTTCTGCAATGAAGCGGCTTACCCTATAGTACCACCAGGGCTCCTTAGGTTATTCTATTGTTGTTGTTGTTGTTAAGTGCCGTTGAGTCGGTTCCGACCCATAGCGACCCTGTACGGGGTTTCCGAGGGTGTAAATCCTTAACGGGAGTAGAAAGCCTCATCTTTCTCCTGCGAAGCGGCTGGTAGTTTCGAACCGCTGACCTTAAGGTTTGCAGCCTGATTCGTAACCACTATGCTACCAGATACCTGTTACCAAAAAATAAGAAGTAACTCTTCTATTTTTTGCTTTGAATCTAGAGGTTCTCAGATTCTATTTTGATTTGTCATTAATTTGAGAGTTTAGAGAATTCTGGCAGGTGTTGCTATCAGGTGCTGTAGAATCCATTCCGACTCATAGTGACTGTGCACAACAGAATGAAACATTGCCCAGTCCTATGCCAGCCTCACAATTGTTATTAAAGTTAAGACATTATATGGATCACAAAGTTTGAGTTGGCTTATAAAGTAAAAACCCGTCTTCCCCCATTGTTGCTGCCACTATGTCAATCCAACTCATTGGGAGTTTCCTCTTTTTTGCTGACCGGCTACTTTACCAAGCATGATATCCTTCTCCAGGGACTGATCTCTCCTGATAATATGTCCAAAGTACATGAGACAAAGTCTCAACATCCTAACTTCTTAAACAACATTCTAGCTGTACTTTCAAGACAGATATGTTTGTTCTTCTGCCAGTCCAATGCACTTTCAAGGTTCTTCTCCAACACCATAACTCAAATGCATTGATTCTTCTAAGGTCTTCCTTATTCATTGTCCAACTTTCACATGTTTATGAGGCTATTGGATTCCTGTTCACATGTTTATGAGGCTATTGGATTCCTGGTGTGGTGCTGTGAGTTAATGCACTGGATTGTAGTCGGCTTGAACCGCAACGTTGGTGATTCAAACTCACCACCTGCTCCTTGGAAACCCTATACAGGGTTACTCTGGGTCAAAACCTACTCGATAGCATTTTACAACAAACGAGGCTCTTGAAAATGCCATGTTTTGGGTCAGGCAGACCTTAGTCCTCAAACTAACATCTTTGGTCTTGAACACTTTAAAGAAGTCTTTTGCTGATTTGCATAATACAGTGCATCATTTGATTTCTTGCTGTCTGCTTCCTTAAAGCGTTGATATGGATCCAAACAAAATGAAGTCTTGACAGTATTTTCATGAGTCTTCCTCCAATCCCGATGCCATGTTTTTCTTCTTAGAACCCAATTTCTTGGATTATATGCTCAACATACAGACTGAATAAGAATAGTGAAAGAATATAGCCCTGGTTCACAACTTTCATGATTTTAAACCATTCAGTAACCCCTTGTTCTATTTGAAAGACTGCTTTTTGGTCTACGTACAGGTTCCTTATGAGCACAATTAAGTATTCTAGAGTACTTATTCTTCACAATACTATCCATAGCTTGTCACGATCCTCACAGTCAAAAGCCTTTGCATAGTTTATAAAAGCACAAGTAAATATCTTTCTGTTATTCTCTGCTTTTAGCCAAGATCCATCTGGTGTCAGCATTGATATCCCTAGTTCCATGTCCTCTGCTGAATTTGGCTTGAACTTAGGGCAGTTCCCAGTGGACGTATTGTTGAAGCTGTTTTTGAATTATCATCAGCAAAATTTTACTTGCATATGACATTAATGATATTTTTCAATGACTTCCACATTCCACTAAATAGACAGTCCTATAAGGTGAACAAGGAACACTGGTAGAATAGAGGTTATGCACTGGACTGCTAACCAAAAGGTTAGTAACCTGAACCCACCAGACATTCTGCAGGTGAAAGATGAGGCTGGTCTGCTCCCATAAATATATATAGTCTCAGAAACCCACGGGGACAATTCCACTCTGACTATAGGGTCACTATGAGTTGGAATTGGCTCTGTGACACTGTTGTTATTAAGTGCCGTCAAGTCAGTTCTGACCCATAGCAACCCTGAACAGGGTTTCCGAGGCCGTAAATCTTTACGGGAGCAGAAAGCCTCATCTTTCTTTTGTGGAGCAGCTGGTAGTTTCAAACTGCTGACTTTGAGGTTCGCAGCCTGATTCGTAACCACTACGCTACCAGAGCTCCTTAGGACTCCATGATAGAGGAGGCCATACACATGGAGGCAATTAATCGTAGTCTGGTTGTAGCTTTAAAAGGTGAACAGTAACACCAGGGAGATATGCACCCCATAGAACCATATATGTTCAAAGGTCAACATTTGCTTAGGGATAAAGCTCAGAAGGCAGGAAGGGTTAGGAAAGAAGGATGAATGGAAGCAGGAAAACACAGGGAGGAAGTAGGAAGACGCTTTTCTATTGTGGGGATTGCAGTAAGTGTCCTGAAACAAAGTATGAACCGTTGAATGAAAATCCAATTTGTATGTATATTTCCTCCCAAATCACAATAAAAAGTTTAAAAACAAAATTGAAGGAATAGTTTTTGTCATGTGCATACCTCACCTTGTTCTTGTTAGATGCTGTTGAATTGATTCCAGCTTCTGGCAGCCCTGTATATAGGGAGGAGAATGATCTGAGCTCGAGTTTTCAAGGCTGGGGCAGCCTTTTGAAAGCAGATTGCCCAGCTGTGTTCAGAGGGGTCTCTGGATGAGTTTGACCTGCCAACCTTTCAACTTGTAGTCAAGTGCTTAACCATTTGTGCCACCCAACAGGCGCCTATGCTCTATAATGCCATTCTGGAAGTTAAGGTAGTATTTATCATTCAAATACTTCATATGTAGGAATTACATTATAGACGCAATGGCAGAGTAAGGACCTCTGAAAATCTACTCTTCCTCTATAAAAGTAACAAGGACATTGGCAAAACCGCTTTCTAGAATGTTTGTAAATTAATAAAAACTTTGTAACTA